CCCCGGCCTCCCTCCTCCGCCTCCTGCCGAGGGCGGAGTCACGGTCTGAACGCGGCTCGGCCCCGGAAGCCTGGAGTTTCTTGAGAGCGAGTTCTGCAAGGGGGTGCCCCGGCAGGGGCCGTAGCGTTTTGATACGTGTTGGTTAGACAAATCAGGTTTCTTCCAGCCAGTTGTGATGCTCCGGGCCTCTCTCAGGCCAGGCTGCCCTTTCCCTCGCCAGGCTCCGGGTGCGGAGTCACCTGAGAGGCTTTGTTGGGGTCAAGGTTGGGTTTGGGAGGGTAGTGGAGATGTGTTAATCTCTTCCAGAGGTAGAACCCTTACAGACTCTAAGGGTAGACCTTTGTCCGAAAGGTGGCTTTGTTTATAATCCTTTCAGTGAAAGCTTTGCCAGAGTCAGTCGTTCTAAACTCATAGCTTTTTTTTTAAGGCTTGCCATGTGTTTCACTTCACCATTTCAGAAAAATGTTCGTTGGTGGCCTGAGCTGGGATACCAGCAAAAAGGACCTAAAGGATTATTTTACCAAATTTGGAGAGGTCGTTGACTGTACAATAAAAATGGATCCCAACACGGGCCGGTCAAGAGGATTTGGGTTTATCCTCTTCAAAGATGCAGCCAGTGTGGAGAAGGTAAGCTGGGTACTTTACTGTCAGCAGCCTGTATTCTAAGAGAACAACGTTCTTAGACCATGGTTGGCTTACGTGTTCTGTACGTGGTTGAGTGCTTTGGGAAAAGCAGAGAGGTTGGGAACTTATGCTCCTGTTTTTAAAGGGATTAAAAGTAGAGACTAAGGGGAGGAGTGAGGATGGGCCAAAGTGGTCCAGGAAGATTATAGTGGACCACTTACCTTGGTGCCTATTCTGGACCCTGTTAAAGCAGATGCTTCATTGCGGGAACTAGAAGAGAGTTCGTGGTTGCTAGGAGATAGGCATTATTTTAGGCCACTTTACAGAAGACAACAAACCTAAGGCTCAGTGTAAGTAGATGAGATCACATTAGTAGTAAGGGGTGGGGGGTGAGAATTCCAGTCCTAGCACCCCAGCTCTAGCTTGTGCTTTTAATCTCTGCTGCTTTAATTCTGGAGGAGAGAGGCCTTAAATTGGGACTGCCCGGGCAGGAACAGGGGTGCACAGCATGGGTGAGGACAGGTTTATACGTGTTTAGGTAAACCAGGTGTACTTGAAGTTTGGGGGCTGGGTTGGGAAGTCAGGTTGGAGGGGATGAAGCACGTTTTGTGTACATGTTGTGGCTCAAAGGGAAGAGCCTTGTCAAGGGTTATGCTGCCAAGTTGGTATTCAACTTGCTTCTGTTGGAACAGGTTTTAGACCAGAAGGAGCATAGGTTGGATGGCCGTGTCATTGACCCCAAAAAGGCCATGGCCATGAAGAAGGATCCAGTAAAGAAAATTTTTGTAGGGGGTCTGAATCCTGAAGCCACTGAGGAGAAGATCAGGGAGTACTTCGGCGAGTTTGGGGAGGTGAGTGTATGCCCCCAGAGTGGCCTGCCAGCTGCCCTGAGCTTGCTTTCTTGGTCCTTGGCAGTCTTGGCTGGCTGGAGCTCTTTCCAGTCTCTGGTGTTTATGTGAGTGCTGAGTTCCCTAATTTAGTCCCTGGGGTAAGGGAGGCAGGCACTGGTCCTGAGCTTTGCCTGTGTTTACAGATTGAAGCCATTGAACTTCCAATGGATCCAAAGTCGAACAAAAGACGAGGCTTTGTTTTCATCACCTTTAAAGAAGAGGAACCTGTGAAGAAAGTTTTAGAGAAAAAGTTCCACACTATCAGTGGAAGTAAGGTAAGGTGTCCCCAGCTGTGTGTGCGTGACCACCTGCTGGCCCTTCCAGGTGTGAGTTAGGGGCTTACCTGCAGGAGCTCTCCAGGGCACAGCTTACTGCAGTGTCTGCTGTCCTCACGGGCGCGCGGTCCTGTCCTTCGGGGAACTCCTTGGCTAGTAGGACTGGCAGTAAACAGGATGTGCGGGAGGCAGGAGAGGATGGGAGGCTTCTGTGGGGTAGGGAGTACGCTGAGTAGCTTCTTCAATTCCTGATTTAAAGCTAGAGATCAAGGTGTTAGGGCGCTAGAGTACAAAGTGTATAAGGCCTGCAGTTAAGTTCTCAGAAAATACTCTAAAGCTGCCATTTACTGATTTCCCTGTGGTCAAGTGTCTTTCTGTTAAGAGCTTGCCGCAGCCTTTTCTCCTATCTTTATTCCTGCTACAACCAAATCTTTTCACCTCTATACCCTTTGGTCACTGTTTAAATTAACTGCCATCCCAAAGATTCTTCCCAAAGAGCTCCCAGGGTCCTGGCCAGCTTAAGCTCAGGGCCCGTTTAACTTCAGATGAGCAGAGTCCTGTGCAGTGAGGTGTACACTGAGGTGCAGCTCTAACCCCTGAACTCTGGACAGGAGAGAGTAGGTAATGTGCTTTAAGTATTCTCCAGGTGGCAGTTGGGAGTTGAGGGTGTGGCCCACTGTCGGCAGGGTGTGGCAGGCTCTGCCTGAGCAGGGGTGGCAGCCAGATTAGGTGGGACCAGTAGGGTGGGGCTCCTCAATCCTGGCTAGGAATTTGGAAAGATTGGATTTGGGATTGGGACCTTAAGTTTTATGTAAAATGAGATTGGATCATGGGGCTCTTACGTGAGATGTCGCCCATTAATGGTTACCCCAGAGGACAGTGACACGGAGAGAGGCCTTTTCCTTGTGCCATAATGTGAAGTGGGCAGGCAGAGCCTGTTAGGATTAGACAAACTACTGGTGGTGGTCGCAGAGTAAGTTTATTTAGTTGGTGTATTTGGCGTTTTAAACTTGAGATAGAAAACATGGTATTACATCACTTGGGGATAATTTGCTAATTTTTATATGAGTGCTTGTATAGGGATGTCTTGTACAAAGTGGTTTCTTACTAGTCTTAACGAGGGCAGGTTGTGTCAGTGGACTTTTTAAAAAAAAAACACTTGAGCAGGAGCACTGGAAGGTCTGTGACCCCACCCGCACTAGACAGTTGTGAGCAAAAAGGAAATAAGACTCTGGGCCCTAAGGGGACACATCTAGCCCGTCCCAACAACAGACTAGTGGTTGGAGGAAGTGGGGGGAGCACTGTGGCCTTACGGAAGGCCTGCCGTGAACGTCAGTGGCTTTCTTCCTATGTAAGATGGAGGTTAGGGTTGCTGCCTCACTGGCATATTTGAGTGGGATGCTTTATTTCTTGTTGGGGGAAAAGGAAGGCGTTTTTTCTCTAATGGAGGCCTTCTTTGACTCCCTTGCCCACTGGGGCCAAGGTGGCTGCAGACTAACACCTGGTGTGGTGTCTTCCTCCACTGGCCCGGCACTGGCCCAGCTGTCTCGCAGCTCTCTTCCCACTTGTTAGATGTGGAGCGCCCAAGGGTGACCCTCCGCAGACCTACTGGTGTATCACATCATTTCAAGTGTCCTGGGGAAGGGCTTGAGCCAAAAAGGTGCTTGTGTGTGAGTTTCAGTCAGTCTGGGTACTAGTTGTGCTTCTCAGAGCTAGCCCCGGGGTGGTTTCCATTGCAGCACGTGCTGTTTATGAGCAGGTAGACAAGATGAGCCATCTGAATGTTGGTCAGTGAAGGCCTTTATGCACACTCCCTGCCCAGAGCTCTTCCTGCTGGCATGACCCACTGCTCTCTTGGCTTTCAGTGTGAAATCAAGGTGGCTCAGCCTAAAGAGGTTTATCAACAGCAGCAGTATGGCTCCGGGGGCCGCGGGAATCGCAACCGAGGGAACCGAGGCAGCGGCGGTGGTGGCGGCAGTGGAGGAGGTGAGTGGATCCCCAGTGAAGACAGGTTCTGTTTTCCTGCCTGCATGGAGCTTCTGTGCCTGTCAGTGGGGGCTTTCTGGCCTCTAGTGCTCATTGCAGCCAGGTGGGCAGGACCAGGACTGGTTCTCCTGGGTCGAGGCTGTGGTGCTGTTGCTGCTTGGAGTGGAAGAGCTGTAGGGCCCCAGGGCAGAGGGGGTGTCTATCTGCATCACTCTTGAGTGGTGGGGCACGGTGGGGCGTGCTTGGCTCTGGCTGTTCTGAGTCTTGGCACACCCATGGGCAGGTGGGCAGAAGGGTAGGGCAAGGCTGTGCCAGGCGCTTAACCTTCCATCCCAGGCCCCTCTGACTCCAAAGCCTGAACTCCATCCTTTTTAAGGCCAAGCTGCCACGGAGGGTGGGGGTGATCAGAGGGTGACGTGAATGAGAGTGAGCTGCCTCATTTGCCCCAGCGAAGTTAGTTTCCTGGCCTGGCCTTCTCATCCCCAGCTTGGGTCTCTCAGGTGCAGGGCTGGGCCCAGGGCCCTTTACACCAGGACAGCAGCCCCTTGGCCTTTCTGAGTTGCCATAGTAACCTCGCCACCCAAAGGGCAGGATTTCCTCTATCCTAGCTCCTGCGTGTGCTAAATGGTCCATGGGCCCCTGTGCCCTGCTCCCCCCACAGGTCAGAGTCAGAGTTGGAATCAGGGCTACGGCAGCTACTGGAACCAGGGCTACGGCTACCAGCAGGGCTACGGGCCTGGCTATGGCGGCTACGACTACTCGCCCTATGGCTATTACGGCTACGGCCCCGGCTACGACTACAGTAAGTAGGAGAGAGGGAGACCCCCGTCTGCTCGTCCATCCCGGGAGGCAGGACAGACAGTGCAGGGGCCGCTGGCAGCACGGGCCGCTGGCAGCAGGGGCTTTGGAGTCGGACAGGCTGGGCTTTGTGGCCTGGCTCGGTCATTGGAGCTCCCCAGTTTCGAGCTCTAGAGCTGTGGGCCTCAGGAAGGTGGGAAGACATCCTGCTGGACAGAGTTGTCGGCTCCAGTGAGGATGCCTCTCAAGCGCCTGGCACAGGGTAAAGGCTCAGTAAGCTGTAGCTGCTGTCACTGTTGTTCTCGCCCCTAGGTCAGGGTAGCACAAATTACGGGAAGAGCCAACGACGCGGTGGCCATCAGAACAACTACAAGCCATACTGAGGCTTCGGCAGGAGTGCCCGACTGACCGCACACGCTTTGTTTGGATATCGAGTGAACACAATTATGTACCAAATTTAACTTGGCAAACTTTCTATAGCCTGTCCCATGTGCATCTTATTTAAAAATTTCCCCTTGGAAATCACTCTCCTGTTCAATATTTCCAGAGCTCTAGTTGTTTTAGGCAGCGTGTGGTGTCTTAAGAGGCCAGAGAGGCATTATGGGCTGATTTTTTATTACCGGGTGACCCAGAGCCAGGCCGGAGGGTCTGCTTCCCACTGCTGCTCTGCAGCCTGCATCTGTGTGGACCCTGGTTGTAAAGAGTAAATTGTATCTTAGGAAACCAGTGTCACCTTTTTTCACCTTTTAATTTTATATTATTTGTGTCATACATTTCCTGTAATGGAAGTGTTAATTTTACTGTACTTTTTGGTACCTTTCGGGAATCTAATGTATTGTAAGGTATTTTACACGTGTCCTGATTTTGCCACGACCTGGATATTGAAGCTATCCAAGCTTTTGAAATAAAAATTTAAAAACCCCTGAGCCTGGGTGAGTGTGGGGCACACTGAAGGGGGGCAGGTGCTCCAGAGCTTTCTGAGCTCCAGTGTCTTCCATGACCTAACCGCCCTGTCAGGCATAACCGCACACTATCCGCATCCTTAGCTTATTTCTTTTAATGATTTGGCCCTGGCCCTGCCCAGGACTCAAGCCTTTAAAGAAAGCTTGAGGCAGCTGTTGAAGAGTGATGATGGTGTAGTGAGGGCTCACCATCCCCAGTGGGGACACTGCCCCAGGGCAGCATGAGTCTGCAGCACCTTGGAACACCTGTCTTCACCAGTGGGATTCTCTACCTTCCAGTGGAGGCAGTGTGAACCTGAAGACGAGAGCACAGTTGTAAGGGCCAGCTGGATCTGGGCGAGGCCGCGCTGGTTCTGGTACCGAGTGGAAGCCTAAGACTAGGTAGTTTGTGAGAGGCGGCGCTGGGCTGGGGCTCCAGGTGGGGAAGGCCTGGCAGAAGTTTCGTTTCCTTTAGAGGCACTGGCTGGCAGAGGAAATAGCCACTCCTGGCCCAGCAATCAAATCCAAAAGTATTCGGGAGATGTTGGCAGGGGAGGGGTGAGGAGCAGCCAGAGCCTCCTAGTATTGGCACTAACAGAGAGGGACATCACCTGGAACAAAGGAGTTGGAGCTGCTGACTTTTGGACGGTAAGGAGCCCAGTCCTGGGCCTTTGGGAGCAGGAAGCAAGGCCCCAGACTTACCCAGAGAAGGACACGCCTCAGCAGGGCCTCCCTCAGGGCCGGAGCCTCAGGGTCTCACAGCTTCTCACGTTCTCTTCCATGTCTGGGAAAGACCGCAGAGCCACCCAGACTAGCCAGCCTTTCTCCTCTGCTGAAGATGCCCTGCCTTCACCGTGGAGAGTGTGCCCACTGGCCTGTCCAAGCCCGTGTCCCACCCTTTACCCGAGTGTGTGGGCCCCCAGCCACAGGGTCAGCAGCAGTTTCCCAACAGGACATTCCCCTCAGGTTTCAGGAGACTACGGTCTCAAGTTCCCTCTACAGGAATTCCAAGCCAGTTATGTGCCATCAGCCTTTTCTTCCCAGGTTCCCTGCACACACACTCCCTTCTCCCAGCAGGTCCCCACACCACCACCAGTTACACCTAGTAGGGACTGGGCCTCAGCTCCAGAGACCTGGGGGCAGCAGCAGAGTGTCCTGGGAAGGGGGCCGGGGTGTGAGTGGCCGGGCTGCTCTGATCTCTACCATGAGGACAGGAGTTTGCCTGTTGGGTTCCCCACTGAGCACTCTGCTCGTGTGCTAAGCAGCCTCAGTACATAGTTACGTCCAATTTGGTAATTAGATTCCCCTGTAGGTGGATTTAAGGGAGACCTTGACTTTCCTAAATGACAAGGAACGTGGGGAGGAGTTTCATTTTGCATTGAATCAGTCCTGGGCACAAATCTCGTTTCAGCCACTTGGCAGCTGAAAAAGCACAAAGCTGCCACCTTCATCTCATGGAAGCGGTAAGGACAGAATGGACTCTCCCGCTGCAGTTCTGGTGGGTAGGCTGACAACCCTCGTCCTGCTTGCTGCGCTGGTACCTGCCCAGGGAGGGCAGGGACATGGCTCAGCTCCCACCTACCTAGGGCTTGAGTTTTGGGGTGGGTACAGGCAGGAATTAGGGGGGGCCTCCACTTCAGCTCCCTGCTTCCCACACTCCTCAGAGGCCTGGCTCAGCTGTCACAGCCCAGTCCCTGGGCATGCTGGGTTCTAGAGACAGTCAGCAGCAGCCTCTTGGCCTCCAGCTCACCTGTCAGGATGGCATCCAACTTTGCTACCACAAGTCGTGCGTTGTCCAAGGTGAAGCACATGGGGGGCTTAAACTTCAGGACGTTCTTCCCCGGGCCATCCGTGCTTAACAAAATGTGGTTCTCCTTCAGCCTGTGAGGACAGGGCACAGCAGGGCCTGCCGCCCACCAGCCTTCCAGATCTTCCTCAGCCTGACTTTGGCCTCGTAGGCAGGGCCGCAGCCACAGTGCCCTCAGGACCCTCCACAGGCCAGTTCACACCAGGATACGGCCCCAGCCACTCTCTGCCAAGCTCCTGCCCAATTTTACGGCTCAGCACAACGGCCCCCGCCTGGGCTGCCCCACACCTGGACCTGAGCCTGCTGGCCCCAGAGCCGGGGCCTCATTTCATTCATCTCTGGGGCCCCCAGTGTAAGCCAAGTTGAGATGGGCCCCGGGGCTACAATGTGGGCAGCAAGAGTCCCTCCACCTCCCATTTTAATGGATGGTTTATGTGATGTGTATGGTTTACTTTAACATTTCTGTATTTGTTGACGGGATGTAGTTAGGTTTGTTAAAAAATAGAGGTACTGGGCTTGAGCCCAGGACCCTGTGACTTCGTGCACCACTGAGCTGTACCCTCCCTGCTATGGTTTACTTTTTAAGTTGAAAAAAGCTAACATTCAGAGTAGCATAAGGAACCTGCGGAACACTTACCTAGCCCTAGTAACTTCCCTGCCAGCCCTGTTTCTCTGCCCTGCCCCCAGGTTGTCTTGCAGCCCAGAGGTCTTAACAGTTCTAATTTTCAGTTCTTTTTTGGAAGATACCGTCCCCATCTTTAACATGGTCATTGGTACCTAAGAATCATTTTTGTTCTACATTTACACTTCCAAGCTAGGAAAGGGCCTTACCCACCTGGAGCCTGAGAAAGGGGTCTGATGTGACTGTATGTACTCTCTTGACTCCCACTAACTCTTTATTCTTTTTATATAAGCCTTGTCAGGAGCAAGGTGCTCTCAGTCGGTCGCTGGCTCCTTTCTCCCATCCCAGGCTTCCTGGCACTGACAGTGGCCCTGCTAGAAAGAACAGGTTCTGAACTTCAAAACCACCTCTGCCTCCGACTAGCAGGGTGACTGCCAGTGAAACACCTGCCCCTGGTTCGTTTCCTCACTGAACTGGAGAAACCACTGGGGTGGTTTTAAGGTGGAGGAGGTCAGGCTTGGCTGGGGATCTGGCTGCCGTCTTCCCCCAGACCATTCTGCAGTCCCGAGTCCTGAGCTCCCTGGGGGAAGCGGTGGGCGAGCTGGTCAGTGCGCCCAACCAGCAGAGAGAAGGCGGGGCTGGACGGCCGCTTGGGAGGGCTTAGCCTCAAAAACTGCATGGCAGGGAAGATTTTTACATCAGTACTGCTCATGTGAATTCGGAACAGGAGGATGCATGTGTCACAATTTGAATAAGGACACACACCAGCCACTATAATGGTTTTCCAAGGAGGCAGGAGTGAGGAAGGGAGCGGCTCTTGGGGTTCGGGGCTTGCCTGGGGTTCCAGTGAAGGACCACGCAAACCAGAGCTGGGGCAAGGGCTTGAGTCCTGAGGGGCCAAGTCATCCGGACCCGCTGAACCCGGATGAGCAGCAGGAGCCCTGTCTGTCTGAAGACCCTGCTCTAGGAGTTGGGGTTCTGGTTCTGCCACAGCCCCTGGGGCAGCCTGGTCTGAGCTCCTGCCG